CCCCCCCCCCCCCCCACACACACACACACAAAATACACACACGTAATCCCCATTTTAAAATATTTAAAAAAATAATTGTCAAGAAATGATAGCCTTTCTCATCGAGCAAATCGTCAGTTGAAACATGTCTTTCTGTGTATGCCGATGATTTAAAACTACTTTTAAATGTTAAATCGCAGGCTGAATGTCTTAAAACTCGGGTCTGATGGACCTTAATACGCTCGCTGTTTAGGGCGCGAGAAATGAGTCGAACATTTCTAAATGTCATAAAATGTGTTGCACACGAGTCCTCATCCAAGTATTGAATTTCTATATTTCACAAACGATACTTTTTTAACCGCAATTGACTCGTGATCGCGGAGTCGTTGATTTTAGACTATCCTTTGCATTCCACATTACTAAGCCTCTTCGTGAATGCAGGTCACTATGAGGTTTGTTAAGCGTTTCTCACTTAACTATACGATAATTATTATGTTATAAGCATTTTATTATAAATTGCCAAACGTTAACACATACCTGGGAAAAGTACGGCGGCAGAACGCAGCGTTGATCGTCGAAACGCGTATTCTGTACTCGCTCGACCAGCTCGAACAGATCTTGAGCATTCTGTAACAACACGTTTTCCCAAATAACGTGAGCGAGTAAATATTGAAAAGTACCGTGGCAAAAGAACATTAACATGAGTGGACGCAGAATCGTGCAAAAATCTCTATTGCATCAACGTCAACAATATAATTTTCCCTTTTAATTTTTCTCTGATAAACACTCGGCAAGAGGTTCTTCCCACAATAATCGATATAATTGCCACGGTTTATTTACGGGGTTACTCCTCGATCGAATAATTTTTTTCGAACGTTTCGAATGGAATAAATTCTACTTTTTAGGAAAATTAGGCGAGTCGACGAAAGTGGCAAAATTCGATATAATGGACTTATCGTACCCTGGCTCTCTCCGGACTGAGATCTTGTTTATCATCATCATCCATTTTAGCGGCGGCTTCCTCTGACTGGGGTTCGCGGCATTGCTCCAGCTGTTGTCTCCTGGCAAACAAATGAGTCAAGAACGATTAGTA